CGGCCTCGATCACAAACAGTCATTAAGGGCTTAGCTATGATCTGGGATCAGCGCTGGGATATGAGTCGCTGAGGTTGTGTCGATGAGGTCACAAAGAACAAAGTTTCTGTCCGTCGTCATCCTCCTCTGCTGGCTAACTAACCGGCCCACTAGTTTAGTTGGTTCTGCAGCTACATGCCTGTTCTCCGGGTCGGTTTGGTCGATTGGATCGTGTGCTGGATCTCTGGCTGCTTTGTTGCAGAGCCTGGTGGGCTCTCTGATTGGCTTGCTGGCAGGCCATTTGGCTGGTGGCCTGCCAAACATGGAAACATCCCGTTAGAGCTGAAAAAGCCTGGGCCTCGTCACTGCGCTCCTCTAGAAGGCTATAATTAAGTGTCTTGAAAAATGCAGCACTGTGAAATGGAGTCTTAATCCCGAGTCTTAAGTGGCTGTGCTTTTCCTCTTGGATGAGAGTACAGTATATGCTTATGAAGAAGCGAAAGAGTGAGGCTATATGACCGTAATGTTACAAATTATTTTTCTAAGAAAGCTAAAAGTGAGCGTATTTTCATAGTTGGTTGTTTCCTGCTTAAACTGGAAAGTTTACACACATTTCTAGCTGAAACACTGAGCCCTGTGTCTTGTCATCTTCCTTAATGAGGTGTTGTTCACAGCGAGGATACGCGCGCCTCGTAAGTACGTGTCTGAATGCGTCCCTTTGAATGTCAAACAGCGAGGGAGATGTGAAGGTCACAGACGCGCCGGGAGAAGCTTTTGCGCAGTTCGTTTGCTGACAACATTATAGGCGGTGGATGTGTGCACATATTAGCGGTTCACACACTCTTTGTCATTCCAAGTGGGAACGAGAACAGAAACTTTTATTACTCGCTTGATATCTCGACAGGAAAATTAGTCAAGAGAATGTCAGCTAAGTTTGATTTTTATTGAAAACAAATAATTGAAACTGAGCTGCCGAAATACAATATTACCATAAATCACAAAACGCACATCCTGCTCGATGTGCTATACTGTGGTTCCTCACTGTTAGTGACTTCTCCTACTGTGCAGTGACTCCAAGCCAGTGTAACACAGTAGATGAATAATACCAGAGCTGAGAGAGACGATCCAGCTGTGCACCAGGCAAGCAGCAGAACCACTGAAAAGCTAAACGGCTTTATGCTAGATTCATTACTACATCATATGAAATCAGTTTATGCTGAGGAGGATCAGCGGAGTATCCTTAAAAGGCCAATTCTGCCCGAAACCTTCCAGCATTCGCATTTAATCAAAAGTTGCCGGGTTCCTAAAATGTTATTTTGGTAGGCATGGCATGTTCTTTTTTTATTGAACGGATTATTCTGGCACATTAACGCCTTCTTTCCGTCACATCTCTGGAACATCAAACGTTTTAAACTTGTGCAGAGTTTGCCCAATACCTCTGAATGACAGAGAGCCAGACGGTAAAAAGCCCTCGCGCTGTATGAGTGTGGACCGTATCCTGTAGGGAGCTGGAAGACAGATGCTGGATGTGCAGCGGAGAAGCAAAGCGGAGTCAGATGGGACAAACACTCTTTGATGAGCTGAGCTTGTCAGAGTTTAAAGCACGGCTAGGTAGGGAGGTGGGGGGGCTGTTTGGGGCCCTGGGGTTGGGCCGGGAAAATTACGTTGCCTCTGATGGGACAATAACAGAGTGCAGCAAATCTAAATTTAGGCATGATTAGTTTAAATTAGAAAAGTTGGTGAGTTTGTGTAATGTTCTCATTAAAGGGTCTGTTATTCATAGAACGTGCACATTGACAGTTCCACTTCAAATTTAAGTCAGGAGGCTGATTTGGCTGATGGCATGAAATTGCCTCCCCCCTCCTTTAAATTTCCTAAACTAGATTCCACTACAACATTAAGGGTGTTTTCCACATTACTCTACATTTACTCAACGATAAAAAAGCGATATTATCAGAGCTGAAACTTAACTCTGTTGGGATAACCGGCTCCATGGTTCCTGCAAGTCCATGTTTATCACTATTACAGATTTAATTACTACTATTCACATTTATCCATCCATGAATTGTTAGATGATCTTTGAGAATGTTGGACAATGTGAACCATATTTCTGGTGTTTGGGGCACACAGAAGGGAAGCGTAACTCAATCACTCGCCCCCCCCTCCTCCGTCTACATGACGAGGTGCCAGATGCGTGTCAGTGCTTTCAGACATTATATATATATTCCTCCCACATCCTCACACTCACACACAACTTAATAGACATGTATATGTGCACACATACTTGCTTGTGAAACTTAAGAACTTGACTTATTTCAAGCGCTCGGGCTGTAGTGTACGGTGAATTACATTATTTCTCTTACAACACTGCAATCTTTAGCAAAGTATATAAAACTGCATCTAACTTTACAACATAAAAACAAGCTACAAAGGCTCTGACTGGATCCAAATAACCCAACAGCTGTGCCTCCCACTTGTCCCATTTATTTTGAAACAGGCCTGGAGTATCAAAGCTCTTTGTCTTAAAGACTCACTGCAATAAAAGCCTGTTTGGGAGCAATGGAAATGGAACACAGAGTGGCAGTACACATGCTGATGTGTGATGTGGCATCCAGAAAAGTCTCATTGGGAGACCGATGGGTAATCAGGGCTGAGGGTGGGGTGGGGTGGGTGATGAGTGCCGGCTGAGATATAGAGGCTCACAGAGGGTAAATGATGCCCTCTACAGTAGACACAAGAGGGACAAGCTAAGTAGGCCCTCTCACTGTTTTCAGTGCAGCAGGCATAAAGAGTATGTCAGCCATAAAAGTTAAAGTGTGATTTTTATTATTTTTTTTAATTTATTTGTTCTGTTTTGTTATGATGTAAGGATGTATGTAGCACTTTTGTTTTTTTTTTAAATAAGGCTTTAAAAAAAATGCATGATTTTTATGTCATGAGTTGCAGATCTACTATTTTTGTTGTGTTAAATATTCTTGAGAATTATTTTTATTCATTTTCTGAGTTTCAATGTAAACAGCAGCTGCGAAAATAAAAACCGCAAGTGCCGAAAAATCAACTGAAGGTTTCAGCATTTCTAAAGCTGAAAAGTGGCTCCTGTGAGAGTTCCTCTGTTGTAAATTACCGGGTTATCTTTAAGGATGCATACATGTGTAAGCAGTGTTTTGCTGTTGGCTGACATTGAGCTGGTTTTTACAATTTGATACACTGTTGGCTAAATTTACAGCCGTTCGGCGTTTTTTGTGTCTCACACATTCTGCAATTAAATAAGAAAACGGGTTAAATAATGTAGTGTTGTAGTAAAGTACAATAAGTGTGTCAAAGTAGGAAATAAAAGCTGCGTCAAATGGACTACGCGGTATGTGATCTCGTTTTGAAATATGCAAATACATTTTAAGTTGTGCGTAATTACGCAAGGAGTCTCGTTTTGGTGCTGCTTATATAGATAGATCGTTTATTTTCGGTCTATGTGTAATAAAACGACCCGTGTAATAGATTTAACAAGTTGTATGAGGCACAGAAACTGTTGAAGTTGGATTTTCCATAAATGCCTTTCCCAAACGCACAGTCGGTTCACAGGGCGGCCACGTGGATGGATAAACATAAATTAAAGCCCCTGTAAAGTAGAATACCTGTACACCTGCACAACAGCTCTCCCCTGTGACCGAGTGAAACTCTACCCCTGCGCCTCTACCTGACTCACCGCTCTCCGGTGACTCACTCACTCCTATACCTTATGGAGTGTAACTCGCTTCTCGCCGCGGCTCGGCTCTCTCTGAACGCGTCTGTGAGCCGTTTACGGTCAGGACACGGCGGTAACACTACACGGTCTGATGGACTGATGTGCGCGTTGCTGACTGAAAATGAGCACCTCCGCTGTTAGGAGCGCGCTGATGGTCCAGGGGAGCGGTAACATGTCGGTACGTACGGTATAGGCTGTGAGCAAACTTTGAAATGGGTAAGAGACAGGCGTGAAACGCAGCTCCACGTGTCTTTCATGAAGTTATGGCCATTTACAGGGAGATCTGTCCGGCAGTCTATATAGGCGTGATAGATTATGGCGGAGGGAATGCATCTGACTCCAGACACCACGTGTTGGAGTCGCATCAGCGCAATAATTGCTGGGCGCTCGAGCTATATAAACCACAAAAAGCCTGAGCACGGGAAACCCCGGCCTCCAAACACTAACCGCATTTACGGCTACAAAACCGGGATTCGTTTTTCCGCCTCCTTCATCTCACCGGCGATAGTTTTTTTTTTCTCTTCAAACGTCTTTAAACCTTTTTTTTTTAACCCTACACAAAATCAGCGGCACGGCCGGAAGACTTAACAGAAAAATATGTTGAATTTGCAGGCGTCGCGGGATTGTAAATAGCCCTGTAAAGTATTGTTAAAGCTTATCCCTTTGACTTTGAAAGGTTTTTTGTGTGTACATAGCCTGCGGACTTTCAGAAAGCCTTTCAGTTTGGCACAAAGACTTCAATGACGCACCTGGAGCTGCGCTTTGACTTTTCACTAAAGGGAGACAGACAAAAAAACTTTTCTTTTTTTGAGCATCTGGGTCTGCTGTTCCATTTTAGACGTGCTTTTTTTGTAATTGTATAGCCTATTACGAGCTCGGACATTTATTTGATGTTATTTATATCCGCACATGAGCAACTACGCCAGCGTTATGGCACATGGACTCTTCCACCGAGGAGTTTGAAAAAGAAAGAAAGAAAAAAAAGAACTTGTCATTTAAAGCATCATCAACTTTTTTTAAGGGTTGTTTTTCTTGCTGGAGAAGTCTATTTTATGTCGTTTGAAGGCGACCACTAAAGTTTGTAGTGGAGAGGGTTTTGAAACGCGGTGTGCGCTCACTCGAGTCCCATTTTCCATTGGCAGGCGCGCTGAGGTTCAGCGAGCAGCGGCGCACGCTCCTGAGTTTCTCCCTGTGTGAGAGAGAGAAAGAAAGAGAGCAGCCGGAGAGCCTTTAGTGCCTTTTCTGATAATCCACGCTGTTGTGATGCGAATTCCCGTAGATCCCAGCGCCAGTCGGAGGTTCAGTCCGCCGTCCAGTAGCCTCCAGCCGGTCCCAGGAAAGATGAACGATGTGAGCTCTCCAGTCGGGCAGCCGGACGCAGCGGCGGCGGTGCCAAGACTGCGCCCCCACGAAAACCGCAGTATGGCCGAGATCATCGCGGACCACCCGGCCGAGCTAGTGAGGACCGACAGCCCCAACTTTCTCTGCTCGGTCCTGCCCTCCCACTGGCGGTGCAACAAGACTCTACCCGTCGCTTTTAAGGTGAGTCCCGACTCAGCGCTGCGCTGCTGAACGAATAAAGCGACTTTTGATGGCTATCATGGCTCACTGCAAGAAAAAAAAACTACTAAATGAAGCCCAAAGCTGATTTTGAACAACAATAAACGCGTCATCTTTCTCTGAAGACATTTTAACAACGTTAGATGACGAGAAGTTCAGATTTTTAAAAACCTTCTCTCACTCGATTATTTACCTCTTTATCTCTTAAGCTTTTTCTTTGAGTTTCCAAGCCTTAATGGCTATTAATGTAAACATGCAGAATCCGGAAGTTATTACTGTGACATTAAAAACAAATTATAGTCAGGAAATGCATAAAAAATAATATTATTGAAGTTTAAGGGCATTAGTCTGACGGTTTTAATTGTAGGAAAATGAGTCAGCGTCTGGAAGAAAGGAGCCACATGTGCATATTGTTTTCATCTTGCGTTTAAAATAAATCATTATAATATTTATTTCCGAGAATCAGAAAATGTTGTGAATTAGTTTAATACAATACACAAGCCTTTTAAAGCAACTTCCCATCCAGTGAAATAAGCAACAAAGACTTCATTGTATTGGATATTTCTCTTTTTGACAATTTGCATCAAATGTGAAAATTATTTAATAAACATTACAGCATGTGTAGTTAGTCTGTACATTTTCATTTTCCTCGAGCTTTTAATACTCCGAATCAGAAAAATATATTTCTAATGCTCCAAAGAATAATGCTTTTGTGTATTTGGCCTATTTTTGTTCCTTTTTTTCTCTGTTTTTGGCTTGCATGATATTGCAAAGAAAAGCCTCTGTTAATTACTTGACAGGTATTATTTAAACGGCAGATCAAAGACACTCTCAAGTGGAAATTTGTAGCTACAGCCATGGCTCCAAATCAAATGTGACACTTTTTAAATATAAGTGTTATTTAACTGTTCTTATAACTACAGCTCTGTAATTATTCCACTTCTGTGGCCTTACTTATCCTCTTTCATCTGCATCCAAGAATCTAAATGATAACACGAGGCCTTGGCGCTTTTGTTTTGAAAGACTGCATTTTACATGATTCAACTGAGGACATTCATCATGATATCAGGCTGCTTCGAGGCATTAAAATTAAATCCATTTATCAACCTAATTTGTAGGAGGATGGCAGGATGTAAAATGATGAGTCTAGACAAGCTTTGAATAGTCAAAACTGAGAAGAAGATAATGTTTTTGTTTTCCCACAGCTTCTGATATTTAAAGTAAAATCTTTCCCCCCACAGGAGCAGTGGAATATAATGTAGCTTACGTCAGATTGAAATTTTGAAAGGAGAACTTTTGTGCTTCTAACAGGTGGTAGCCCTGGGAGATATACCTGATGGGACCGTTGTCACCGTAATGGCGGGCAACGATGAGAACTACTCCGCTGAGCTGCGGAACGCCTCAGGTGTGATGAAGAACCAAGTAGCACGTTTCAATGACCTCCGTTTTGTGGGCCGCAGCGGCAGAGGTGAGGCCTGGAACTTTCTCTGTGCTCCTTTCACTACAACACAGTAGTAGCTATTAGGTTCAGTGGTGTGGATTAGTGGCCACATTCACTACGTGGCAACCACATAATGATCTCTCTGACTCCAGACTCAAATCCCACCACCCATCTCGCAGAGCCCGAGTGGTGAAGCGTGTTGCTCCCCCCTTTCTTTCCCTTGAAACGATACTTCTCGATATGTTTTTCTATCCTTTAATCCAGACGAGTTGCTTTTTCGTACTTGTGATTTTTAGATTGAGAAACAAACTGTGCAAAGATAGAAATGCGCAGCTCTCCAGTGTCAGCCACATTAAAAAGCGAGAATCTGATAACAAGAAATACTTATCAAACTCACAGGCTTTTTTTTTTCTCTTCCTTTTCACCTGATATGACCCAGCTCAGTTCAGGCTCATAAACATGTTGGGTGGTGCTGCAGCTCTACGGCTGATCACTCTCTGCGCATATCTTCACGCTGTCAGGCAGAGAAGCGCGCCTATTAAGTCCAATGGCATTCTTCAAATGTTTGGCATCACGAAAGTGACTATTTGCATCATTTACTGTCATGTCGGTAAATCATGTACGTTTGGGTCTCCTGATGTGCTCTTGCACCCGCCGTGCTTTCTGTAACTATTTTATTTTTTGTACAAATCTCACAGAAAACCAGTCGCCTGTCGTAAGTTGATGGTGATAAGTGCTGTCAGCAGCTCCACCAGCAACTTTTCCTCCCGGTTTCCTTCTCTGTTGTAGCTGTCAAAAAGGGGAGGGAGCAGAGCAGTCAGGAGGGCCGAGGAGTGACAGAGTTTTAAGAGGAGACAACGAGGCATTTGGGTTTGACCTGTTGCCACAGAGACCTTGCGTGCGTCCCTTTGCTGTAACAAAGAATCTAGTAACAGGAAGTGACATAGGAGCCAGGGGAGATCAGACTACGAGGTGTCTGAAATGAATACCCTGCAATGACAGATAAGTACAAGCGAAGTGAACTGATAGGATGTTAGATAGCTGAAAGTCATGCACAGGAGAATAAGAGAGAGAGAACAAAGATGCACAAGGATTGATGGTTACAGGGCTGACGTGGTGCCTCTGTATGATGATAGCACAGATGCACAGGACGGCTAGTTCAGAGGTCTCAGATATCGCTGATAACATCATTAAAATTAATAGTGTCATAGCGTACAACCTTACCTTGACAGGAAGCACGAACAGGATCACAATTAAGAGATGACAGCAGCTTTAACAGCAGTGAAGCAGGAACACAATGCACAAGATGCCCCACTGTATCATAGATCATCAGTATGTGTCACTTTATTTATATGTAACAATATATCAACAAAGTCAAAGGTCCGTACCAGTATTTTGGTGATGTACCGGTGCATCCTTAGTATCCACTGTGTTGAGCTAGTGATATCATTTGTTTATCCTTACTGCCAGCTACTAATTTCAACTCTTAACCCTAGCTAGCATTAGTTTATGTGTTCCAGTTATTTAGAAATTCCTTTTAGTTGCTATTTTCTACAGTTTATCCATGAATTGTGGTCAATTTTTATGTTGAAACTTGTTCACAACCACTTAAGTCATTAATTGATTGCAATCATCAAGAGCTAATCTTTACAAATACCACACCTGATATAGTTGAAGTAAACCTCTGGGGTTCTTGGTCGGGAACACCCACATGCACCTTGAAACAGGTATGAGGGACGCCTGTTGCATCTCCTCTGTCTGACTGCTATCTGATCTTTGAAAAGCATGTTTACACTTAGCTGGGGCTCAGAACGGAAGAGGGGATGGCACACACAGGTGTATGGATGAATACACAGGGGCTCGGATGAGTTGCTACCCCCGCTTCCTGTTTCCAACGTGTAGCCATGGTTACTCATTGCGTCTGCATACCTCAGATATTACTGTTCCTGCTGACTTGGCTGTTGGACTCTGATTCATAGCATTCCTCATCCATGCACATAGGGACGCATACACTTGCACAGACAAACACTCAACCCCAAGGCAGCAACTGCTGGGGATTATCGAGAAAGGAAGTGACTATTAAAATGCCTCTCGCCCACTCACAGAGCATTATAAATTCTGGATAACACGATACTGGCTCCTGCAGTCAGTCTTCCATTTAGACTCTGCCAAAGGACCTAAATAGACCCTCTCAAACAGCCAATGTTGTCTGTTGTTAATCCTCTCGAAGTCGTTTCTTCCCCAGTTTGTATTGGCTATTATGTGATCACAACCACACTTGTGACTTGGGGATGTTGTAGAGATGAATACTAGCCATTGTCTCAATTGTCATTTGATGTTGCTTGATGTCACTACAGGCAAGAGCTTCACTCTGACAATCACAGTATTCACCAACCCGCCACAAGTGGCCACTTACCACCGAGCCATAAAGGTCACCGTGGACGGACCTCGTGAGCCCAGGAGTGAGTACCAATGCACGCACAAGCAGTACAGTATGGAAATAAGTGCACACACACAAGGAAGCATCCTAAGTCTTCTTTCAATTTGCCAATTTGCAAGCTTTCAAATATGGGATTCTACTTTTTCATTAGAATAAGTAGAATCCCATCGTGTTATAGCTCATATATGTGATGATGATAATATCAGGGAGCTAACTGTGGAAAATACTTCTCAACTTTTACATAGTTCTTCACCTATTCTTGATATGCAAACTCAGTGGAGTGCCCTTTAACTGAGCTATGTGTCCAGCCAGCAAACAGAGTCGAACGTCCGGCTTAAATGATGACACTAATAAAACGAGGAAATTAACAAAAAAGAAAAGGTTTACAGGAAAAGGTTCTAAATTGTGTTAATTAGCAATCACTTAAAGACTTCTCACAAAGCAGTCTAGCCTCCCATGTGACACTTTGAGAGACAGAAGAGAAATAAAATGTGAGGCAACGTATTCCTCAGAGGGTACGCGGGGTAGCAGAGTGCTAGCATCAGCTCATTTTAATGGGCCATATAAAAACAACTGAGGAGGGAAAAAAAAACTTTACTATAGCCAACAGTGCCAACTGGTCTGGCATGCAGCTGTTTCCACAACCCTCCTCCCTATTCATAAAAAAAAAAGCATATTCTCATCTCATGGCGTCTCAATGAACAATATCACATCGCAAACAACTCACCCCGCCTGTCCTGTCACATATGGCACCAGGACACACAGAGACACAGAGGAGCCAGGAGACACTAGGATTAGTACCACCATCAGTCTCTCGTTGTAGGAAACCTGCCTGTGGTGCCAAAAAATGCCTCACACACTCGACATTCAGCGCTCATCAACATGCGCCCTGAAACAAAGGCATATGCTTGTCCTCAAACGCACATGTACTCACGCTCACGCCCACTTTTCCCCACCATCCGTTCTCGCTCTCGAGCCATCTTGTTTGATCAAAAGCATTTCCTGTGCATCTGCTGTCCCACCCCCCCAGATGACTTTCAAACAAGTCCTGTTATTTGGTGGCGAGCAGATGGGAGTCGGAAGTGAATTTGTTTAGAAAAGCTCGGTGCGGCCTCAGCAGAGCTGCCGTCTTAGATTTGTGTCCAGAAGCCTGAACACACGAGAAGCGAGTCTTTAAGCTAGAGACCTGATCAGGTGAGGGTACACTGGCACAAGACTTCACTCTCACAGGCATTGTTTTTCTTCTATTTAGCCTGAGTAAAAAAACATAAAGCTAGAGTCTGCATGTTCCAACTTCAGTCTCAGGACAGTAATTTAAGCAATAAAGACTATGTCATCATGCATAACCCCTGAACTTCTTTCCTTTGCTGCTAAGTGGTCAGAATTACAGTGGTGGTGTAATTTACCCAGAAACTACAGCCAGAACACGTCTCCCTCTCAGGGGTCATTAAGTCGAGGTCGGAGGGTGGCAAAACACACATGTGCCCTCTCCACAGAGCCTCCCCCTCCTCCAGGTTTTCAGCACAGAGACTCTGAGCTGAGAGCAGTGACTGTCTCCAAAACTGTGATTCTATCTGTGAACGCTTCATTGAGACGCTGGGAGGGGGTATGGGGGGGCTTTGTTGGCCATTACGGCTCTATTTTGTGTTAAACGAGTGGATAATTAGGAGGCCTGTGGTATAGCCAGGCCCCACCAGAGAGGGTTGCACTCAGAGATGGAACAGTAGGCTATCTTAAAGTTGACATACACTAGCCCTTTGTGGCCCTCCTCTTTGAAAACACTGTGGGGCATTTTTTGTTTGTTTGTTTTCCTCCTGGAAAATAAGTTGACAATAGCAGAAGATTTCAGCTGGTTCCTGACATAAAAGTTCAAATGTCCAAATATTCTTTATGCTTCTGTTAACTTTTTTTCTAACCGTATAATTGCTTGCCTGGTTGTGGGTGTCTCATTCAGGAAGTAGATTTTGTGTTAACTTGTTTGATGCTCCTTATGGTAGCCATATGAGTGTTCCTGAGGGATGTCATTTTCCCAGCGCTCCCTTGTCTAATATCAGTAGGACCACCCCTGTGACTCAGTAAGGCACACATCTCTGAACTGTGGACCCGAGCCTTAGTTAATTAATTGCGTGGTCGGTGACGAAAATCAGCGAGGCCCAAGTATAAAGATCTGTGGTATAATTTTCCTCAGAGGTTTACAGTGTGCGTGTGTGTGTGTGTGCGTGTGTGTG